GTAGACTTTAAAATTTTTCAGAAATAAGGGCTACCACTTGTCCACTAGGGTTTCTCAAGCACAGAAAGGAAGATCTGACTGCAGGGAAAGGCTGCTGACCCGGATGCAGAAGTTGCTATAAGAGTTTTTTTTTTTAATTTGAAACTCACTGGACACACATCTGCTCTCACTCTACCCTAATATCTTTATGCACCCCTGAGACAAAGGTTGATTTTTCTGTCTACTTCTATTTATACACCAAGAATGAGGAAATGGGGAATGGGAAAGGCAGGAGGGAGGGATGGATTTAAAATAATAATTTTCTTTTATCTACTCATTAACTGCTTTTGTTTTGCTCAATCTGAGAGGACCAGCACATTTTCAATATATATATATATTCCACTATCCTCCTTTTTTCCTTTAGGAAACAGTACTTAGGAGTCACATATAAGAGGGTTGAAAGCCGGTTGTCCCAGAAGGGTAAGATGAAGAATATGTTCCAGAAACACACATCTCAGCCGAGTGGTGGGTACCAAGGACACAAGTACATCAGACATCCCAACATCCAAGCCACTATGTGCCTTCTCAAGTTCTGTGAAAGTGAACTTGAAGAGCAGCCTCTCCTTTCAGCCTAAGTTGGACCCCCCACCACAGCTGGTTCCTTGTAGGGACTTCAGGAAGACTTGGGAGAGCCTGGGAAGGCTGGTGAAAATGTCCTAGAGCTTCAACAAGGGTTCTGTCTGAGGAAGATGCCAGATCCCCGCTGTAAACATCACAATGGAGGAGAATTCTCAAGAGTAAGCCTGGGGCATTGTACTGGGAGAGGAGATGCGCCCCTTTGGAGCAATGGCAAACAGCAGCACTATACACCAAGTCAACAGTATACTCTGAGCGGCATCTAGGTCCCAGGCAGTGTGCTCGCAGTGAAGAATGAAAAAAAAAGTGAGACACAGACCCTGACTCCAAGAACTCTTGAAACAGGGATGGATGATACACATGAACCAGGTATGGGACATCTCTGCTCTGTGGACTTCCTCAGTGCCTCTTCCTTTGTCTTAGTGTGAGGTTCTTTGGATGTCTTAGATGAGGATGTAACTAACTACCCAAGAGTTTTAGTGGAAGAAAGGTGGTGAAAGCAGGTGCCCGTGGAAGACACTCATCAGATGCTCAATGGTTCTTGGTTCCAAAGGTGTACATCGTCCACAGATTCCTAATTGGATTCACGTCTTTACCAGAGCTTAAAATAGGCTGCCAGGAATATGACGGTGTAGGAGTCCTAGCTGTTTCTCTAAAGCTTGGACACCTCAATGAAATCTGGTACCAGGGCTATGAGAACACATTTCTGTGAAGAACAGGGTCTACTTTGGATATTTTCAGGATGTATTGAAAGAGAACCTATTTCTGGATACTCAGAGAAAACTCAGGGATAAGACAGTTTTAAAGCACATTCTTTCAGGCCTACGTCAAGACAAAGGACAAACATAGACTCCTGAGCAGGAAGAAGCCTTGAAGGCGATCTTGGTTTGCCTGATGCTGCAGGTGCCCAGACAGACCCTCATGAGGACTTTGACCTGGGCTTTCATGGAGTTAGCTGCAGCTCTTTTTTGGGAGGTCATACAATGGGAACAATTCCTCCTGAAAAGATCAGGGCCCATGCAAGTATAGACAGTAAGTGTACATCCCCAAAATGTGTGCAGAGTAAGGACAGATGTCTAGAAAACTGTGCACCTTTTCCTTGAATTCTAGGAGTGGTAAGTCATGAGGAGGAAATAGAAAAGGCATGACACCATAAATAAAATAGGAAAAGCTACTTTGCACAAAGAATGGATGTGCCAAAAGGCAGCTTGGGAGGCCCTATATTACTCTCCATCCTGCCTGTGGGCATCTGGCATTTCCTCTACCTGATGAATGGCGTGGACAGGCCTTTTGACCCTTTTATCTACCAGACATCCACTCCTATATCAACATGCAGGGGCCTTCCTAAAAGAACTGTCCACATTTCTGTATTCCCTTTCCACACAGAAGATGGCCATGGTTGGAAGTACTTGTTCTACAGAAGTTATGAGATTATTGTGAGCTGCACTGGATGGCTTCTGATAAACAAAACTAGGCATTTTCAAAACTGCAGAAAACCAGCAGCTGGGCCTAGAGGGAGAGAACGCAATGAAGTCATCAGATGGCCCCAAGTGCCTGGATCAGCTATTCTTTGGGGAGAGTTTCGCATCTATGTAAAAATGATTTGACTGAGACATGATCTGTCTTCACCACTGGGACAAAAGATGACAACTGCTCACTGCCTTTGGAGACTCAGCAAAGGTGTGACTCATTCTCTCAGGAGCCCCAAGCCTGTCCTAGTTTGTTTAAAAGAAGCACTTTCTTGGAAACATTTAGTGGGTACAGACGAAGGCCTGACTGCTAAGGGTCTCTAGCTTCAGCTCAGATTTGGCAGCAGCTCAGTAACATCTCTGATCTCCAAAGAATCATCACCGGGAACACTGGTCCCCAGTGAGTCTGGAGGTGATTAGCTACAGCTTGGCATATCTCATCAGTCTGAAAGTGGGACGGCTAATCTGGGCCCCAGATCTGGACAAAGCCGTTCATCTAAATTACTCTAATCTGCAGGTAGATTCTGATCAGCTGCTCCTCTCCCCTTGATCCATCTTCTGTTTCCATAGCAGCTAAAACCTCAGGAAAGTGGCAGCATCTGGCCCCGGCTCAGGTGAAAATCTCCTAGGGAAGTGAATTAACTTCACAGCTACAAAAGGAGGAACAAAGGACCCCCAAAATACAGCAGAACCAGCATCAAATAAAAGTAGAAGAGGAAGAGAGGGGTGGAGAGAAGGAGAGAAGGGGAGAATAAAATGAAATCATGGCAGAAATACTTAAGAGATAGTGAGTAAAATGGGAGAACCAAAAAGTGTAGGGGAGGTTTAGGCATAACAGGATTGGACAGCAGAGGCTATCTGGAGGAGAAAGGGCAGAAAACATCAATACAATAACAAAAGAGCTGACCAGCCAGGGATGGGACTGAGAAGGGACATCAAACTAGAGACAGAGACTCTTGGAATAGGTAAAGGAAGTCTACCCCAGGTGATAAATGTTCTGCAGTCTTGAAAGGCATACTGGCCTGGCATCTCATAGCACTGGGGACTTGGTGACATTAAGCTGTGATGAATGGGGTATGTAGACTTGAAAAGCCCGCACATTTAGGTATCCCCACCCTTACAAGTGTCCCAGGTCCATTTCCCATCACTAATGACCTCATGCACAGCTGAGGTCTCCTTCCAGACTTGAGCCAGTCCACACAGAAGGCCATTTTAAAAGGAGAGACTGACCAAAATGCAAACTGTCCTCCCTCCCCTCTTTCTTCACAGGGAGAGCATCAGGAATGATGGCCAAAGAGCTCCCTGGAGTTCAGGACAAATACAACTGAACATGTCGCAACTCTGAGGTCATCTGTCATGGTACACTGTCACAGTTTGAGAGGAAATTCCATATTTGAGGCTGTTATAGTCCAACACTGATTTTTTTTAAAAAAATATGTGATTATGAAGGCACTAACACCTTTAGGGATAGAGGACTTATGTTCCAGTGAAGGACCTGGGAACAGGCAGTCCTTAGTTACTGGGCCTTCTGGGGATGCCCTTGTAAAAACAGCTAATCTGTCTGGCCCAGTGGTGATGGCCCTTCCAGGGACAACCTAGATCCAACAATGAACTACTGGGTTGATATATAGGATCAGCACCATGATCTTAGGAGAAGACAAAATAGAAGGACTGTTGTACTTCAGAAGTGTGACACAGACATCTGAAATGTTTCCATGGACCACATCATCGCTCATCATCTCCTCCCACCCAAACTTGCCTCCTTCCCTTTTCCTCTACAGAAGATAATCCCAAGAGCACCCCAAATAACTTTCCTTCCCATCACTCTCCTCAGAGTCTGCTCTGGAGGTACACAGCCTGTAACAAGCAGAAAGTCTCTACAAGGGTGCCTTTAGGGATCCTTAACCTTGTCTTACCTAGTGATATATACAAGCCTTCATCAGTCCACACATATACGTAAATATTCATGTGCTTAAATTCGTATGTAATTACATACATCAGCCAGTGATCAGCAACAGATCTGAGGACTTCTATCAATGCCTTTGCTCACGTGTTAGTATTTCTTAACTAAACTCCTTGTCATTAATCAATATATACCACTCCGTTTTCTCAACCTTAACCAGTACTTGTTACTCAGTCATCTGTCTTGTGAGAATATAAGTTCACAAGAACAGAAATTTGTTAGTTTGGGGGATTTTGCTAATTCCCCCAGTGCCTAGAATAGTCTGGATGATTGCACTTTCTACAAATATTTGGGAATGAATGAAGTGATATTATGTGCCTTGATAACAAATAAAAGCTACCTTAATGATAAGTGACATCTTGTCAAATCCTAAAGGTTCAAAGCACAAGTCACCCAATTTAGTCTTCAGACCATCTGAACACTTTGGCAACATACAGTTTGCAATTCAGCCACATATTATATTATATTTGTTATTTAGGAAATATCCAAAGGGAAAACAAAACAAAACAGCAAAACCACAAAAACAGCTAATGACCAGATTTTTGGCAACGCTGAGGAAGCACCGACAGAGAAATTTCTTGTTAGGAATATGGCATTTAGAGCTCTCATCTGTCATTATGTGTTTGTATTTCCTATCTCTTCAAATACCAGCTGGACAATGTCACCAACACAGCACTTCAATCATCACTCTCAATGGGACAAGTTCACACAGAATATCTTCACCACTATTTCACTCAGACTCTAGCAGAATTCATCTCAATGAGATTGCAAACACATACCCAGGTACACTTTCTGAGATTGTCATAGCTCTGGCCACTGTGCACAGAACAGAGTCATGAGTTAAATTCAGACTACCAAAATCTTAGATTCCTTTGGACTCAGTAGCCAGTGCCACAACCTCCCATCCATGTCAAACAAGATTCCTATTATCTCTCTTGATCTGCTGTTCTTACCTTTGGGAGAAATATGTCTCCAGGTTACTGTAGGCTCCGGTCTACCTGTGGCTATGCAAGTGAGGCTGATGTTGTTCCCTTCATTGATGGAGATATCTGAAGAAATCTCTACAATTTTGGGAGATACTGTGGAGACAAAACAGATAGAAGGAACATAAAAATCCTGCTGACAAAAAAATCTCTTCGTTGTCTTAAAGTAGAAGCTGACAGAAGAGCCCAAAGATTGAAACATATGGACTACACTTGTAAAAGATGAAAAATCAGAAGAATTACCTTAAGCATGAAAAAAATCTTACCTTGGATTTAGTGTCCAAATTAAACACAAATACAAAGTCCAGAGGGAGATCAACTGCTCTGTAATGCTGCAGTACCTTTCCCAACTCCCTTCTGTCTCCACTTACACCACCCTACCCCAGACGTACCTCCAACACAGGTCCATGAGTCACTCTCCTTGAATTCAGAGTTAGCTTTATGTAATGCAGTTCTTAACATAGCTCATATCTACATAAATAGCTTGGATTCTCCCTGTTGCCTACCTGGCATAAACAGGTTCCTAGGCCAGCATAGGAGGACATTCAGAATTGAGCATCAACTAACTTCCACCAGGCATCTCTAGGGGCCCCCACAGCCACTCACCCTTGCTTTGTTCCCAACATGCCATGCCCTTTCTGGTCATCACAGAGGATCCATATTCTTCCTTATATCCTTTGTAGAAATCCTTTAAGGCCAAGGCCGTCGTTACTTCCCTTACCATCTACCTGTCCCACTTAACAACTCCTATCCAATTCTGCCTCTTCACCTGTGTTTCCAGAGCATACTAGACACAGATGGTTGGGCACTCATATCAGTGAGCTATGCTCACATGACCCCTCTCCTGCAAATAAGGGGAGTATTCCCTCAAATGCTTAAAGTTGGGGAGACTCTTGCTTCCTTGGCTTCTGTATTGGAGCCTGGCTTCCCTTTAAGGCTGTGTGCTGCTGTGCTCTTCCCACTGCATTTCCAGGAGAAGCTCCCTGTAGCCTGGTCAAGCACTGGCTTACATACCCTATCTCATGCTGGAAGCTGCAGCAGAAGTTCATTCTTGCTATACATCTAAACCCGCTTCTGCACTGTCTGCTTTACCATAGACAACGTGATACTGGATTCTCCATGTGGCCCCTCCTTTGTCTAATTTGTCAAATGGTCTGACTTTAAGAAGATGAAGTGACAGTGTTATTTATTGAGGCCCTAAAGTCTAATCATACATGGAATCATCCCACCACATTATAGCTCTTTGCTTGGAGTCACTCATTCACTCATCTATGCATTTTTGGAAGGGCTGAGCCTGAACCATATCTTCCTCATATAAAGGTATCCACAGTACAAGTCCAACAAGTATTTCTAGGATCCATACTCCTGCTGGACGCTTTCCTCTGGGAAAGGAATATGATGACGTCATCTCCTCCCAGCTTTCTTCCTTGTTATCCCTTCTCCATCATCTTCTCCCATTCATGTCCCACACTCCACCCGTGTAGCAAACTCATGGCTCCCAAGCATGTGCTGTGTTTTGTCCCCCCATCTTCTATCCTGCAGCTGCTGTGTGTGCTCAGCTGCTTTTCTCAGATGGTACCCCAACTGGATGAGTTTCCACCCCTTCTATTTCCATGCAAGGTCTTAAAGATGAGCTTTTTTCATCATTTAATTTTATGTTTTCATGCACAAAGTGTCTTTCATACAGTAAGCAAAATCAATCATTATTAGACTTAAATCTACATTGAATTTCAGGTAAAAAGGCTGTGTGTGTGTGTGTGTGTGTGTGTGTGTGTGTGTGTGTGTGTGTGTGTGTCCGTCCGTGTGTCCATTCCTGCACATTAAGCTAGAAATAAAGAATAAATAAGACAGAAATAAAGCAGTGGGATGAGAGACTCATTGCTCCACAATCTAGGATGTTTAAGATCTAACATTATTTTGCAGTTGATCATTAAAAGCCAGAGTGTGCCTGTCAAGATAGAAAGGCAATAGATATGGTGGTAACTGGGCGTTTGATTTGCACACTCCTTGACATAGACATTTCTAAATTCTCTTAGTTCTACAGTTCAACAGAACTCTTGAAGATGTAAAAACTTTGATGTGTTTTACTCACAGAACCTTATCTACAGCATTTCTCTCTGGTGAACTCTTGGCCCAACACATCAGCCTGGTCCCCGCCCCTGCCCAGCTTTGGCACTCACGTGGTCTCCCTTGCTTCTTGGAACACAGACTGTCTGGAGAGTGTCTGCGCTGGCCTTGCAGACATTGCTTAAATGGTGCAGGTAAGTAATTTATTGATCTGTAAAGCACTCTGAGATTCTCTGCAAGGGATTATGTCACGCCAACGCCACGCAATAAAATAAAAAAAAAAATGATGGACTTTGTGAACACAGGGTGATTTAGGGGTTGTAGTTGGAAGTGTACGTAAAGTACATTTTAAGTGGAAATCAGGCTGGGTAATGAATTATTCTTGCTTTGGAAGGCTGACTGGGAGTTCATTTTCCTGGCTTCCTACATGATAGCTAATCTGCTAATCATACACTGGAGAACAATGGACAGTCCCCAAGTGGCATGGAAGGTGGAGTGGGCCAGAGCTGTCAGCACAGTAAGTATATTAAATGAGACAATCACACCTCATGCTTGGAAGAATCATCTAGAATCGTCTCCTCCCCTACCCCTATCATTTACACCTGGAAGGTATCCAACTCATGAAGGAGACGTTGGAGAAGTGCTTGCCGCCTCCCCTTGCCAGCCTAACAGCAGAGCTTGAAGGAGGCACACTGCCCTGGATGGATCCAAAGGAGCTTGGTATGGGGCTCAGGTGACAACAGGCATGACCACAGTGATGAGAGCTAAATCAACGAGTGCAGATGTTCTGGAGTGGAAAGTATCGCTTTCTAGGTGGCAACTTACAGCACACTGTCATCTTTAAGATTAAATTAGAGGCTCAGAGCACACCCTTGACATGAGGCCTTGAGTTCTAGCCTCAGCAACTCCCTGAAAAATTAAATTGAGCTGGCAAGGAAACACTATGATTTTAGCTAATTCCTGCTCATAGGAAAGACTTGGGAAAGTAAGAGATAGGCTCTCTGTATTTCAGTCTCCATGGATACTTTCTGTATCTCACTTCCCTTAATGCAGGCTGTTAGGGACATACCAGGATTGCTTTGTTTGCTTGTATTTATTCATTCACCCATTCATTCATCCTCTTGTCAATATTCATGAGTCACTCTCCATATGCCAGCATTGTGCTAAGCACTAAGAACATAAAGTCCTTGTCCCTAAGGATAATGTAATCTAAAAATATAAAACAGACAGACGAACCCAACCTTTAATGTATTGTGACATAGAAGGATTCATCAAACGCTGTGGGAGTACAGAAGTCAGATGCCTAAGCTTGACTCTAGGTGGGTGTTGCATGACCCTTTTGGGACATGTGACAGCTATGTTAGATTTTAGGGGCTGAGTAAAAGTTTATCAAGTCTGGGATAGAGATGAGGAGAAGATTGTTAAGCGATCTTATGGCATAAGAAAAGCATCATTAGTGAGATTATTTTTGTGCCTATATATAATCAACCACTATCGGAAGAGATTCTTCTTTAGCAGCTGTGCCAAAAGGCACAACGTGCTTGTGAATATATACTCTATACACAATTGGGTATTAGGTATTTTATGGCATGCAGAATTATACCAGTCTCGTTAGCTCTCCATGTACTTTCAATTTGTTTGTGGGAAACAATGCATTAAAAACATTCTATTGAGTTGAAGGATGAAGCAAAATGTACCAGAAAATTGTATGTGATTGTGAAATGAAGGATGCATGTGATAAGTGCTGTGAGCTAGAAGGAGGGATGACCATGGTGAATGGGAGTGTCAGCGATGATTTTACCCCACATTAGCATCTGCTTTGGATAGCAACAAACAAGAAAGAATCATGCATTGAGACAAAAGTGGGGCTGTACTACAGGAACCAGAAATACACTCTTACAGATGAGTTAGCAAAAAAGTCCATGCGGTACATGAACATACATAACATACATCTACCAGCAGAAGGCAGTGTCCCACAAGGCTCCAGATCCTGGGCCTCCTGGGCCACTGTCCTCATCTACAAAGGGGAACCAGTAATTCTGTGGATTCTGGCATATGTGAGGTTCTTCAGGGACTGAAGAAACAACTTCTGAAATGATCTGAGAGCAGTTCCTGGAAACATGAGGCATTTGATAAGTGAGTTTATTTGTTGCATATGGTTGGCAAACTTGTGTGCAGTGTCAAAACAGAATGGACAGTCAATAGATTTCATAAGAATCAATGAAAAAGGGATACAAGATCAATGAGGTACCAGGGAGCCAGATTGCAGAGCAGCCTGGAGGGTTAGGTTTGGGACTGTTAATTTCAATAGGCTATGGCAAGTATTTGATTTAAAAAAAAATAGAATGGCATAATTTTAAAATTTTATTTTAGGAAGAAGAATCTGTTAACCATGTGTCAGAATGGAACTGGGATAAATTGGAATTAGAGAAATCTATCTACATGAGTGATATTCAAAGCCTGGATTGAACTGTTAGCTCTACAGAGAGAAGGAAAGGGGTGGATTGGAGAGCAATGCCAAAGAGCGCACATGGAACATAATGATAGCCTGGAAAGGGGGAGGGGTCTCAGAGAAGCAATTGGCTTTGTGGAGAACTTTAGCTAGCGTCATTCTGATTAAAACATGCTGATGGGAAAGATGCTGGGGGACAACCAGGCAGAAGCATCCTGTTACCAGTTGGAGTCACATGACCAAAGGGGCCAAGAGCACAACTGAAAAGTAAACTGGGGAGAGCTGAGAACAAGTGCCGCAAATCGCATCTGCTGAACCTCAATCAATGGTGCCTCACAAAGGGGTGTCATTTTCTTCACACATGTGTACTTGATGACTGATGGCATTTGAGGTCTGAATCTAAAATATACTAATTATACCAACAGAAAGACTAAGAAATATTTGGGATATATTTAGGAAGAAAGACAGAAGTCGGGTGAACCATATTCAGAGGATAAAATTCCACATTCAATACATTTTATTAAGGTTTCATCTGGCTATTACTGAATTCTAATTCAAATATGTAAATAATTAAATA